CTCACTATTTTTATATAAAGTTCAGTGATGCATTGTGGGTAATCTATTGTATTGCATTGTGGGTGATCTATTGTATTATTCTAATGAGCGGTAACGGTTGATTTCGAATTATTCTAGTGGTTATTGAGTGGGAATAATTGTGGATCCGCATGCAGTTTGGGGATTATTTATAGTGTTGTTAATTAACTTATTTTTATTTATTATTGAATATTTAATAGTTGATTGCTGCTACTAAGTTTTCTTGGGGTTAGCTTTTTGCACAGCGCACATGGGCAGACGATTAAGTTTAGCATGAAAGAGAGTGTCGCTTCTAGCTGTTGACACACACACACAAACACGCATTAATATTATCATTCATTAAAGCTTAAATAGAAAAGTAAATATATATCTACATTTATCTATTATTTCATTTTCTGATTTAGTAGTTTCTTTTTGTTTTTAAACCTAAATTCCACTAAGCTAACATACTACTTAGACAACACCTAGCCTGGTAAAAAAAAATAAAAATAAAATAATTAAATAATAAAAGAAAAATAAATGGAATATATCTATACTTCCAAAAATAACTGTAATTTAAGAAAGTCTCATAACTTTCGGGAAACGGAATTCTACTAAAACATAAAAATTGTTCTTCCTGTGATACCGAAAATGACATTGTTGCATGTTTTTCTATGATACCTCAAATGATATTAACATTAATGATAAATGTTGATCATCAGGAATATATATAACAGAATAAATGCGTGTGATAACGTACATATACAGATGAGTGAATAAATATTTATTTAATTTTAGCTCTAAACAAAACACTGCCCAATCTAGTTAAACAGAGACCTAAAGTATATGATAATAAATACACACATACCTACGTTTGCTGTTTCATAGTTACCCAATTCATCAGGCACAACTAAAACTCAGAGTTGCACTACAAACGTAGGTATATATATATATATATATATATATATATATATATATATATATATATATATATATATTGTTTGAATTTGGATATCAGTTTTCCAATTTCTAAGTTCGATTAATATTTTTTGTATTTAGGACAATTTTCCTGTAAATATTGAAATATATATTGTCCAGTGTTTGACTACCTTCGTTCAGCTTATATATGCAACTATTAAATAGTTTGTTTTTGTTGTTGCGGGGGGTGGCTATATTTTCGCATATCAATTCTTAGCATCTGAACAGATTCTATCGTATCATGTTATATTAATGAAATATATATTTAGTATCTTAGTTCCTAAATTTGTTCACATTTTATTGATGTTTGGCTGTTTCTTTTTATGCTCAATATTTCTCTTATTGACACAGTTTATTATATCACGTAAAAACATACATTATGTCACATATACCGTAAAATAGACTACAATTTTTGAGTCGAACGAACTACATTTCAACACCTCATCCTGCATAAGACCTTGTTATTAGTGGCAGATAGCTTCCAATAAATCTTAAGGGATAGTAATATCTGTTTATAATAGCGAACCATTAGGCGTACGTAACTTTTTTCCTTCGGAAATATCAACCCACTTATTTAAAAAAAAAAACAATTTTTTTAATTTTCAAATTTTTGTCTTATTTTCTTAGAATTTCAAAACACCAAAATTAAATAAGAAAAAAATATTCATTAATCATAACATCGAATCGCCTTTTTATAAAGTCAATGTTTAGTTTAATCGGCAATAAATCAATTATGACACCATATTTGAAGACAGCTAATTAAATTCTTTCAAAAAATGCGGACGGTTGGAGATCCTTGGCAGCTGGATATTCTTTGAGATTGTTTTTTTTTTTAATATTTGTTCTTTTCTATCCAACCTATTATAATAATTCTTTAGAAGTTTTAATGTTTCGGTTATACGGGTAATTTTATTTCAGACTTCATCTGAGGATCACATTTATTTTTTTTTTGCTTTTTCCTCCTGAATAAATCTATCACATGAGCGACCAGAGCATTTGTATTTCAATGGAGGCGCCCATGTTATAGTCAAGACGTAACTAATCTACAAATACTGCTATTTTAGCAAATCACTTCTTAGTGATATCTAATAATTCGTTAATTGACAACTAGAGATATTTGATAATTAGCTCATTAAGAGATATAGCTAATAATCAATTTGTTGTAGTGTGTTGTTCTACGACACTTGATAAGTAGTTAAATTCTTTTTATAATTTCTGAAATTTCGACGAAAGTTAAATTATTCAATTGTTTAGGGTATTTTTCACGATAGCTCCACAAACTGCCAAAGCTATAAAATGGCTAGTTATTTCTTTTTTTCCCCTTTTTTACATGGTTGCCTTCAATGTCTTTTTTTTTAACCCTAGCTTGGGATGCAAAAGAAAAAAAACGAATCCAAGTATCGACAAATTCTGTTTTTACTCAAGCTACTCAAATATCCTATCGTCCACGACCGCACAAGTATTATTTATCATTGATCAGAAATGGGGAATATATACGTGTATAAATCAATTAGAAAGTGATTTTAAATTTAAAAATATATTCGTCATCAAAGCATAAAGATGATTTGTGATTAAAATAACGACGCCGAGACACAGTGAAACAATAAATTTTGAAAATATTCGAAATATTTATTTCACAATATTACAACGTTTCGGTCGTTGTACGCTCCGGCCTTCTTCAGGTGGTTGACATGTCGAAATGAACCCTTTATTTCGCTCGCTGGGATAGACTGTTCTAGTTCCACGTGCCATGTCTAATGAACGCCAGTTATCAGTTATCTCCTGTTAATTCCACTGTCCAAGTTCTCCACCGCCTTAACCAGGTATTAAACTCACACTCTTTGGGTTCTGTCACTGTGCCATGTGTCCTTGGGCGACAATATAGCAACAAAGATTAGGACAATAGTCTAAATAATGTAAATAGTGTACATAATACCTCATTTCAGAAATATAGACAGTTATTTCACAATGTTATAATATTTACAATTCTGACTTGCATTGCCGCTATTTTGTTTTCTAATCATTTTCTTGATGTTAAGATGAAATTAAAAATTTATTGTAAGTCCATTTTTTAAAAATCACCATCACGACAGAAAGCAGATTTTATCGCAGTTGCACTAAGTTTGAAGATGATCTTGGAAAAGGTCGAAAGTACTTGGATTATAAAAAAAACTACATCTTCCTTGATTAATTTCATCTTAACATCAAAGAAACTGATTAGACAACTGAAAAATATCAGTATAAAAATAAATAGATACAACATATCTATATTATTCAAGGAAACATATTTGAATCAAAATATACTGCCTATATATATGGATAAGATAACGAACAACAAGGAATCATTTATAATTTGTTTCGCTTTTATTTAAGCTTCACCATAAATGAAATATGTAGGAGAAAATAAAATGCTGCTATTTTTGTTTTTCTCGTTTGTCATTGGTTAAGTAGATCTCACATCTATATGTCTTGTCAGTAGCGTTCCTATGTATATTGCCTGTCTATTTGGATGTCCTAATTTTCGTTGGTATATGCGGAATTTGGTTGATAATGTGTGTGCGCGTCTTGAGGGCATTTTATTTCTCTCTTATAGTGTATGTATATTGATTGCAGGATGCTTTGTGTGGAAGCTGCAACGGTTGTGGTTGCAGGTAGACTGATCTTAGATTCTTTAAGTATTTTATTTTAAGGGTTTTATTAAAGTTTGTGACGTAAAGTGTGTTTGGTCTGTGTTTATTGATGTGTAAATATCTATCATTATTCCTTCTAAATATTTTCTACGTAATAAATTATGTTATTTTATATGACATAGTTAGAAGGTACCCTGATAAATAGTTTCCAGTCAATAAACACGCTTTATTATATCACCGACTTTTATAAAATCCATATTTAATGAAAATAAAACTTAAGTAGGGGAATTACTAATCTGTAAGATAAATAATAACAATTTTCTATAATCGGAGTGTTACATTTGCTTGGCGCTTTATATATCACTTTAAATGTTTCCAAAGTTTCTCTTAGTTTGCCATTATTAAATTATACATATTCTCCAAGTAAATGGTCTTTATTTTCTTCTGGAGTTAAAATCTTTAAAGTTTTTTTTTTTGTGTGGGGGGTTGTCGTTTTCTGTCAGTTTTCCTACGGTTCATTTACATTTTTCCTTCTCTATATCTATTAAAACGTTTTTATCTGTGTCTATCTATCTATTTTAATTTGTTCTTATCTATCTATCTGTGTATCTATTGAAATATTTTATCTATCTGTTTGTATTTGTTCTCATCTATCTATCGGTCTATCTCTCTATCAGAATATGTTCTTATCTATCTATTTATATATATATATATCTTTCTATTTGAAATTTATTTATCTATTTTACTTTGTTCTTGTCTATATGTCTTTTAGAATTTTTCTATCTATCTATTTAAATTTGTTCTTATCTGCTTATCTATTTTAATTTTAGTATTAAACAACATTTACCGACCTGAATGTCTGAGAAATTTTCACAGAAATCGGTATATGTTGTTTAATACTGTTTATAATAAACAGAGCATTTACTTAAGTATTTGTATCTATAAAAAGAATGTATAAACATAACAATGTCTTTAAATAATTGTCGGACTTTGTCCATTTCCTAATATCTATTTAATATTTTCTTATCTATCTATCCTCTTTATTCTCTTTTTTTCTCCGTTTCTGTCTGTCTATCTCTTTCATTCCATTTCTTCCTTTCTCTTTCTGTGTATCACTCTCTCCCTATCTTTCTCCTTCCTTCTTTCTCTCGAGCATTATTTTACATCCTCTCTCTCTCTCTCTCTCTCTCTCTCTCTCTCTCTCCATTTCCTCCATATATCCTTCAGACTTACTAACTTTTCCCTCCTGCTGTTTCTCTCTATATGATTTTTTTTCCCTTCCGTTTCTTTCTCTCTCACCCTATCCCTCTCACTTTCTCTTTCTATCTCTCTTTATATCTTTTTTTATCTCTTTCTTACTACGAAGCATTTAGCTGAAAATCACTGGATGTTCTTTCACCTTTCAGCCATTTTCCAGTCGGTTAACCCAACCAAAATTATTGACCCAGACTTACCATTCCACGAGGAACAGTAGGGGAGCAGCGTATTATCGATCTCGTTAAGACTGGAACGACCTTTCTGATTAAAAGAGAACGACAAAAGGTCATAAACATTACAGGGATTCTTATACTTTCGCAAAAGTGTTGACTCATATGTTACGATGTTATTATTATTATTATTATTATTATTATTATTATTAGAGCAGTTAAGAGAAGAGCGCGATTTTAAAAAAAGAATGTCTTCAAGTTATATCTAAACAATGTTTTTTTCACGTATAAAAAATGTAGAAATCTACAAACAGTTATAAGTTTTTTTGTACAAACGTTTTATGTCTTGGAATGAAAAACGCCTGTACTGATAATGGACGCGTCAAAACGAAGGAAACGCCGGCCCCCGCGAGGCATGTAACTAAAACGTGTTTAATATGGTGATGATTTTGTCCGTCTTGAAATTTTCCGTTAGTATAAATCTTTATGGAACTCTCCTCTCATTTGTTCATACCTCCGAGCGGGAAGTTAATAATTTGCATACGTAAACATCTTCATGTGTATAAGAGTCGAAAGGGCGGCAGATTCTGAACATTTTTTCGGAATGTGCACCTTTAGATGTGTAAGATATATTCTTCTTCTTCTTATTATTATTATTATTATCATCATTATTATTATTATTATCTCAAACAACGTTCAAATAACATGAATTCTCAAATTACAGTTTATGCAAAGCAGGACAGACCGGGTTCTGTGGCCTTGGATGGCAACTAGTCTACCGTAGAAAGAAATGGCAACCTACTGCAGGAAAAAAATATGCCTCGTTCTTCATGTATCAAAAGATACATGATCACCTAAGCGTGTATCACTTATGGCACATAACTGACTGACCTTTCTGCTTGTTTAGAGCAAGTAAATGTATTGATGCGCAAATTTCTATATTAAATAACTATTTAAAAAAATATTGTAACTTCAAAAAATTATCCAAGCTATGTAATTATCCAGAGACGCATTTGTCTAGGGTCGAAAATGTTTAGGGACGTAATTGTCTGGTACGCAATTGTCCATCGAAAATGTCTGAAGCCGAAACTCCAGATCAGGATATTTATTTCATTTTTTTTTTCAAATTAGGTATCATATCTAAACCAGACAAATAAACAAATATCATGCAAATTCTGAGCGCATAAAAGGGTCTTTTACGTCATTCTTCCATACTTTGTTCACTGTGAAACAAGTGCAAAGAAGTGTTCTAATAAAGGACGGAAATCGCGACAGTGAAATGCGAAAGCGCGTTGGGATAGCCAACGATGGATTCAAGAACCGAATGCTGAACTGTTTCTAGCGAAGAAAACGGCGACTTGCCTCGTCAAACCAAGCGACAGCGCGTCGCATGTATTCTACGACGGAAAATGTGTCGAAAAAGAAAATTACTTACCAAACAAAAGGGTACCTATTCCGCATGACATGCTGAAGATGGAATATTTCAATTAAAAAAAATAATAATAAAATAAAATAAAGAAGTCCGTCGCAGGAGTCGCTATAAAAGTATTTTGATATGCATTTGCATACTGAACATCTTCTCCCAGCTGTCGACGAATGGAAAAAAATATCGGCCGATAAAAGCAGTTGGTGTTCTCGAATCGGGGGACGAAAAAAGTCGGCTATTTTGACTGCCACGTCTGTTGGAGAGTGAGTTATTTTTCTGACTGGTGGCGTGCATTGGGATTTGTAAAATAGTGCTTGCGAATCGAGTTTTCGGAAATTTTCCTTTCTGTCCTCGATGTTCGAGTCTGAACTTAGTGATTTATTCTTTGTGACGTGGAAATAATCTGCGACAAACATTTCCTTTGCAATCCCAGATCGTTTACACTGTTACATGACATTCGTCCTCCTATGTGGTAGAGAATGTTGGATAATCTCCCCAAAGATTGAAGAAGATACTTGAATTAACTGAAATCTTGTTCTGCAGAAGGATGCTGAGGATACAATGCACCGAACATATGAGCAAAGTTGAGTTTTTTTTTTTTTTGTTTTGTTTTTCTAAAGAAAATGGAAACAAAAATGGAAATGATACTTAACATCAGGAAGAGGCGGTTGAAATTTCTGGGACAAGTATTGAAGGAGGAGGGCTTGGGAAATTTTGCGCTCACAGGAGAGAGAGAGAGAGAGAGAGAGAGAGAGGAAGTGGGACAAATGAAAGCAGAACAGTTGAAAATATACTTGATGGGCTTGAGTGAGTGGATAGAACAATTATTAAAAGCTGCAAGGGACAGAAAGTTTTGGAGGGTCATCATCGCTTACGTCCTGAGGGGTCACAGCACATAAGTTTCTTCTGTAAAACTGGCAATATCAATTTAATCAAGCTGTGTTTCAGTATGTTTTTTCTGCCTGGCTGCGGCTGGCAACCTCTCTATATTTAGCTATAAAGATTATATGAAGAACACACTGTAGAAAGCCAATATCTTTCAAAATGAATCGGAAAACCTCGCTATAGATCGTTCATTCTGGAGCTTCAAGAGATATCTCGAACAGAATCATGGCGAGCATGAAAAATGAAGAGAGATCTTCGTAAAGGCTTTGATGATAATCTACTTCAGTATGTTGGCACAGTCTTCGACTTTGACGAGTAATGTATACGATCAAGTTGAAGAAGAGTAGGCCTAAAAATCTGCAAACTGCGAGAGAAAGACAGAAAGAGACAGAGAGAAAGAGAAAGAGATACAGACAGAAAGCGATACAGGCAGTGAGAAAGAGAGAAATAGAGAAAACTAGAGAAAGACAGAGAGAGAAAGAGAGAAAGAGAAAGAGATACAGACAGAAAGCGATACAGGCAGTGAGAGAGAGAGAAAGAGAGAAATAGAGAAAACTAGAGAAAGAGAGAGAAAGAGAGAAAGAGAAAGAGATACAGACAGAAAGCGATACAGGCAGTGAGAGAGAGAGAAAGAGAGAAATAGAGAAAACTAGAGAAAGACAGAGAGAGAAAGAGAGCGATAGACAGAGACACGGAGAGAGAAAAGAAACAGACAGAGACAAAGAGAAAGAAAAAGAGAGAAATAGAGAGACAGAAAGAGAGACAGACAGATACAAAGTGAGACAGACAGAAAGAGATACACAAAGAGAAAGGGAATGAGCGAAATAGAGAAAGAAAGAAAGAAAAAAAGAAAAAGACAGATAGAGAGATTGTGACAGAGAAAGAGGGGGTTATTCTCTGTAAGATTTCATGGCATTTCTTCTTGCAGCGAGTGTGTCTCGGTGAGCCAAATTGATGCCAAATTATAATTTTAATAGCTACTGCAATACGCTCCTAACGGTGTCACAAATGCATAAGAGAGTTTAAATCCTTAATCCTAAAAGACCACATACACAGCATCCGTATTTGAGGATAAACCTAGCGATGACATTATTCAAAATCGATCACCCCCTGCAAAGAACCTCCTAACACTAGAACCTCGTTCTCCTATCAACGAGCAGACTGGGACTCGTTCCGGGATTTCCTTCGCGATGTTCCCTGCGATGCTGTCTTTACACTCCCCGTTCAAGAATGTTCTTCCGTGGTCTCCTCCTGGGTTAAAGCTGGAATATAGGCTTTCATCCCCTCAAGGAAATATAAGGTCAAATCGCGCTCCTCTCCTTGGTTCACTGCTGCTTATAGCTGCCATTGCCCATAGGAACCATTTCTTCCAACTATATCGTAGCGACGTGTCTGACTGCAATAGACGTCTGTTTGTCTCTGCCCGTAACGAGTGTAAGCGTATCCTCAATTTGCTGCTTGAATGAAAGAACGTATTGCATCTCGCAAATTCGGCTCCAAGGATTAATGGCGTCTCTGCAAGAGCGTACTTAACAATGGCAAACCCTCTATACCTCCTTTGTTCAACCATTTCGAGGTTCTGAACTCTTCTGTCGACAAGCTTGAATGCTTTGATCGGAAAATCTCATTCAATTTAACGCTCGACTGCTCCGGTGTACTCACACCCGATTTCCCCCTTAGAACGCAGGCTCTATTGAGAGAGTTACAGATAACCCCGTCGTTGGTATTGGACATTATCTCTAATTTAGAACCCCACAATGCTAGTGATGCAGACGGGATACCAGCCATTGTCCTGAAGAAATGTGCGCCTGAACTGGCCCCTGCCTTATCCAAATTATATAACTACTGCCTCAATGAATCTTGTTTTCCAGACTGTAGGAAGTTCTCATCCATTGTTCATGTCTTTAAGAACTCTGATGTTCCTTCTGAACCTTCTAATTACCGTCCTATCAGTCTCCTACCTCTCTTCAGCAAGGTCTTCGAAGCTTTAATCAAAGCCGAAGTGGTTAAGCACCTTACATCCCATGATCTCCTCTCCGACAAGCAATATGGTTTCCGCTTTGCCCGTCCTACAGCTGATGTGCTTACGGTCATCACTGAAATTGTTTACCAAGCTCTTCATAATAACGGAGAAGTTCGTGCCGTGGCTCTAGATATCTCCAAAGCGTTTGATAGGGTTTGCCATGCCGGCCTTCTTCGCAAGCTTCAGGGTTATGGAATTTCAGGTCGATTGTTTGACTTGATACAATCATTCCTGTTAAACCGTGTATTGAAGGTCGTTCTCAATGGATTCTCCTCTAGCTTCTATCCCACGAACGCAGGTGTTCCCTAAGGCTCCACCCTAGGCCCTACTCTGTTCCTTATCTTCATCAACGATCTTCCTGACGTCATAGATTCCCAAGTAGGCATCTACGCAGACGACACTATTATTTACTCCTGCCTCAACAACAAACCTAGTGTCGCTGACAAAACTAACCTGCTCGTTTGTCTTGAAAAGGACCTCCAATCTGTTGTGGACTGGGGCAGTAATTGGCTTGTTAAATTTAATGCCTCAAAAACAAAACTGCTCTCTATTACTCACCAGAGAGAACCATCCTTGTTTCCCATTAGAATGTCTGACGATCAACTCCACAAGAGCTCCTCTTCGCGACTGCTAGGTCTCACATTGACTGCTGACCTAAGATGGAAGAAATACATTGAGTCAATACCTACGTCCACCGCAAAGAAAGTTGTCTCCCTGTACCGCGCTAGGAAATTTTTTTCGCCGGAGTCTATCCTTCAAATCTACAAATCAACTATTCGCCCTTGCATGGGATATTACTGCCATATATGGTCTGGTGCCTCTTTTGTTTGTCTCATGGTCCTTGATAAAATCCAGAGACGGATATGCAATGTGATTGGCCCTAATCTGGCATCTTGTCTGCAGTCGCTTTCTCACAAGCGTGCCGTGGCTTCCCTCTTTCTTTTTTTACAAATACTTCCAAGGTTAATGTTCCGTTGAGCTGTTTTCGCTGGTTTCCAGACTTCATAAATTTAAGCGTTCAACTAGGCTGGCATCTCGCTCTCACACTTTCACTGTCGAAACTGTTGAATGTAGCCGTCTCTTATATTCCAATAGCTTCATGTCTCACACTTCCCACCTGTGGAACTCGCTCCCCATTTCCTGCTTCCCTGATAGCTATAATCTCTAACTATTCAGATGTAATGTCAATCGACGTCACCAGATGCCTTGATCTATCCCCTATCCTTCTCTTCATCCTTTCCTCTACCAATCCTATTTACTCTCGCTCCAACTCTCTGTAACCACTTGTGTGATAGTGGCTTCCTGCCTTGCTTGGGTTAAACGCTTAAAAGAAATATATATATATATATATATATATATATATATATATATATATATATATATATATATATATGAACAGATGAAGAAATATACGAGCGAGCAATCGTATGTACATACAAATATAGTGCAAGAAAAACTGTGCTCAATGTTAAATAACAGAGTTATTTAATATACAGGGTGTTTCAAAAAATTTGATATCCTTTGAGATATAAATATCACAGAAAGTACATGATTAAGGCAAATGAAATTAAAAAGTATTAATGTTGAAGATCATAAGATTTATTCTTACAAATTTGAATGAGAAATTCAAAAGCATGTGGATTATGTGAACACACAAAACGCTTTTTCTCTTCTAGTAAATAGCATTTTTATACCTGTAAAGAAAAAGATTAAAGATTAAAGAACATAAAAATACAAATAAGAAAAACACAAAAATATAAAGACATAAAAACATAAAACAAACATTAAACATCTTTATGTTTAATGTTTGTTTTATGTTTTTTATGCTATTAAAATTTGAAGTCATTTGAAGGAGATCTGACAAAGTTATTTGATTGCGAAATGATATCAATTTTTTTTAAACCCCCTGTATATTAAGAAATATACATAATACGTTACATTTATTGCATAAATCAGTGTTTCATGCTTTCTGCATTCTTCAGGTGTGAAATTTTGATTTATTTCATTGGTTAACACTGTTCCTTTTAATGTTTTATTGTTACGGTGCATTATTATTGCTTTTAATAAATTAAATGAATTGTAGTTTAATTCTGGAATTGAATTTAGACCCAAATTAACGTTTAACGATTGAAATTAAGATTGGAAATAAGAATTATAAATTCAATTTTGAGAACAAACACAGTTGTTATGTAGAAAACGTTTTTAAAATCAAGAGGGGTAACTCTGTTTTTAGCATGAAAATCAATAAAAAAATTGATACTATTAAAATTAATATTAATGAAGTTAAAAATATTGATATTAATAATAATAAATTATGCAGTGCAAAATAAAATTAAAATTAATTAATATACAAATAAAAATAATGATTATCAATGAAAATAAATAAAATAAGATAAAATAAAAATAAAAATAAGAACATATAAGTAAATAAGAATATATATTTAAAAAAATGAAAGAATAACGGTAAATAGTTAAATGTATAAACAGATGAATAAATACACCAAAGACGTTTCTGATAGTAAGGCTAAATGTAAAGTAAAGTAAAAGTAAGAAAAAAAAAGCAATGATAAAGGCTATATGTTAAAAAGTAATAATAAGACTAAAACAATGAAAATGCTTAAAATACTAGACTAGCAAAAATGACAATCGTTTTATAACAAAGATTGCAAATTTAGTAAACATATAGTAAAAATATTAATAAAATAAATAATGCCAATACTAGTATTTATAGTGTGTCTGCGTCAACGTGATTGAATAGAAATTTGGTTCTACGTAGGCAAGTGCTCATTAAGTCACTTCTTCTGTTTAAGTGATGAGGATTGTAAATATTTATCAGAAACATTAATTTTTTAGAAAGATATATGTTTTACAAAATAACAATTTGGTCATACATCGCCCAGTTAATTAGCAGCGTTTGTTTTTCTGCAGTTATAATCATTAGTGTCGGGGATGTTGTTGTTTTAAAGGTTGTTGAAGTGTTTCTTTAGAATGGAAAAAAATTGTACTGTGCTATATATATATATATATATATATATATATATATATATATATATATATATATAAACACACACACACATATATATGTGTGTTTGTGTGTGTGTTGTGTATGTAAAAATAAAGACAATATGAATACAGAAATACAAACTGAAAACATATTTTGTGTTTCTTTATATATATATATATATATATATATATATATATATATATATATATATAGATAGAGAGAGAGAGATAGATAGATAGATAGATAGATAGATAGATAGATAATATTAGTGTTTAATATACACATACATACGCAATCATATGTAAAATATATAAATATATACATACATGCACATATATTATATATATATATATATATATATATATATATATATATATATATATATATATATATATATAAAATAATTCCAAGAGGATAGAATCCAGGTAGAACTCAATGTTAGTGTTTAACCCTTTATATATATATATATATATATATATATATATATATATATATATATATATATATATATGTCATATAATGCTATTTTTAAAATATTAAAATTAGTTTTGTTTTGATTTTGAAACGAAGTTTGGTACCTGGCTATCGCAAGAATTCATACCGTTCCAAGAATACGGTACTGGCTTCTGTTTCATTTCCTACAGTTGCATCCAGCACCCGAAAATGAGCTGTTGATATTTTTATAGAGAAGCTTGCTTTATGCGTGTCGTTGTATGCGTCTTTGCGAAAAACGTCTACATTCGACTGAAAATGTGCTCATAGGCTTATTCGTTTGTATGCATGCAATAACTGTAGAATGATTTTTTTGAAAGAGAAGTTATCTCCACTCTTGCATCAGGCATATAGCTTGCCAGCCATTCGTGACAAGTAGCGAATTTCATCACGTGCTATTTGTTTTTATTCTCTTTGCAGTTGTCTGTAGAATCCTGATTGTGGCCGCGACTTTCATTAACCTTTGATGATGACAGCTGACCTCAGGTCTTCTGATCAATAACGAATCCCGTCGCAGATTTCGAAGGTCAGATTAAAATGAACATCGTTTGGTGCTTATTTTTCAGTAGCAGAAGACTACAATTTATGGGAAAGAAAGAAAGAAAACTGGAAAAAATAGAAAGGAAAAAGCAAGAAGAGATCCAAACAAAATAAACTGAAGCAAAACAGAAATGATAAAAAGGAAAATGAAACGCAGACCAAAATGAATAAATAAAAAAATCAAATAAGAAAAAATAGAGCTGTGGGCGGGGGGGAGAAATTAAAGATGTCACGTAAGAAGAATGAATGAAAAAGAAAGAAATGAAGCAAGGAAATATGTTAAGGATATAATCAAAAAAATAAAAATGAAAGTAAAGAAAGAAAGAAAAAAGAATGAAAAAAGAATGAAAGAAAAAAGAATGAATGAAAAAAGAAAAAAATCTCAAAATTTAAGAACGAAAGAAATATGAAAAATGACATAGAACAAAAATGGCGGGAAAAGAAAAAATTAAGTAAAGAAATAAGAAAGAGAATAAGAAAAACCGTCCTGGGTATGACGATAAACTACATCCGCGTCCTGGTTAATACTATAAACTACATCCAACAGTAAGGCCTCTGATCAGGAGATTTTTAGGAGCGTAGAACCACCTCTTAATTGGTGGTGTTCCCAGGTCCACATTGACCCTGGATGGCAGTACCTGCTAGAATCCCAGCTTTGGGCAAATAGTTAACCCCCAAACTGGGGTCAAAACTCTATGTAAGTGTAAAAATAGGATTTAATACAAGAAATATTTTGGAAAAAAAAAGACATTACCAGCAATGAATTTAAAAAAAAGAAGATATTACCAGCAATAAATTTTTGGAAAAAAATGACATTAAAAGCCATATATATCTGAAGAAAAAATATTACCAGAATTAGATTTTTGAAGAAAAAATATTACCTGAAATATATTTCTGAAAAAAAAAATTAAATTATTACCAGCAATAAAATGTTTTTCGGCATTATATAACCCATTGAGTTTGATATGCCCTAAAATAAACCTAACTAAACCAAACCGAAAAAGAAAAATGAAAACTAAAGTAAGAAATAAAGGGACAAATTTTTAAAACATGAAAGTATATGAGGAAAAAAGAGAAAAGAAATAGGAAAACATTAAACAAGAAAATAAAAAAAGTAGAAACAAAAACGAAACAAAGCAAAGAAGAAAAATGAAAAATGGTGTAAAGATATAAGAAACCATAAAATATAAATAACGTGAAAGGGAAGAAAGATGAAATAAGTTAAGAAAGAAAGAAATCTTAAAAGTACAGTAGAAAAGGACGTAGAAAGAAAAAAAAATGAATAAATAAGAAACAAAGCAAAGTAAGAGGAAAAATGAAAAATGGTGTAAAGATATAAAAACCATAAAAAATAAATAACCTCAAAAGAAAGAAAGATAAAATAAGTTAAGAAAGAAATATATAAAAGTACAGTAGAAAAGGACGTAGAAAGAAAAACAAAATGAACAAATAAGAAACAAAGCAAAGTAAGAAGAAAAATGAAAAATGGTCTAAAGACATAAGAAACCATAAAATATAAATAACGTGAAAAGAAAGAAAGATGAAATAAGAAAGAAAGAAATATTAAAAGTACAGTAGAAAAGGACGTAGAAGGAAAAACAAAATGAACAAAAAAGAAACAAAAGACGTATTGTAATCATAATAATTGTTATAATGGAACACACCTATTCTATACTTAATAGACTCTCCTACCTATAATAAGTAGGAGTAGTAAGAGCAACAAGTAATTCGGCAGTGGGTCGGTCAGTCAGTCGATATCGGACGACCGTTAGTCGGATATTAAAGTATCAGCCACCACAACTAGATTACTGTGTCATTACCTATTATATCAAGTTCCTAACGTTTTGTACGTCGAACCTATTTTAGGACCGACTTAGTACAAATACAAGCCTCCACTGTGAAACCACTACATAACAATAATGAAAAAAGTATAATAAAGAAACAAATATGAAAAAATCAAAAAGAAAGAAAGACGAAAAAATAACTAATGAAATAAAAACAGGAGAAAACAAAAAAAAAAAAAGAAAGAAAGATAAAGTTAAGTAATTAAATAAAAAAAAGAACATAAAAGAAAACAAAAGAAATAAGGAAAAATAATAAAATGGTAAGTATAAACGGTAGGGGGGAGAAATATATATAATAATAATAAAAGAATCAAATTAATTAAGGAATAAAGAAGAAAGATGGAAGTAAAAAAAATGAAAGGTGAATATGATATGGAATAAGAAAGAGGAAAGAGGATACTGTAAACGATAGAAAGAATAAAGGAATATGAATCGAACTTAAGGAAAAAAGGTGGAACAAGTCAGAAAAAATTAAGCAAATTATATGAAAAATATTTAAAAAAAAAAAAAGAAAGAAGACAAGAAGAAAATCAAAGAGGTAGAAAAACAAAAAAATGATTAAATTTAAACGTTAGATAATTAAATAAAAAACGAGAAAAGACATAAAGGAAGAAATAAGAAAAAAGAAACAAAGAAAGAAAAAAGTAAGGAATGAAATAAAAGAAAAACAGGAAAGAAAAGAAACAAAGAAATAAATACGTAAAGGAATAAGTAAAAATGGAGGAAGAAAAAAAATTATAAGAAAGGAACCAAATAAATAACCGATAAAAATAATTGAAAAGGAAAGGAATTTAGAAAGAAATCTAGAAAGGAAGAAAGAAAGAAAGAAAGAAAGAAAGGAAGGAAGAAATCTAGAAATGAAGAAAGAAATCTAGAAAGGAAGAAAGAAATCTAGAAAGAAAGAAAGAAAGAAATCTAGAAAGAAAGAAAGAACTCTAGAAAGAAAGAAAGAAAGAAAGAAAGAAAGAAAGAAAGAAAGGGAGGTGAAAATGATATGAAATGAGAAACAGAAAGAGAGAAATTGAAAACAAAAGAAAGAATAAAGAAATATGAAAAGAGCCTAAGGAAAAAAGGGGGAAACATCAGAAAAAAATAGACAAATAAATACGAAAAAAAGAAAGTATAAAAATGAAAGAAATATGAAAAGAAAAGCAAAACGTTAGAAAAACAAAAACAGTTAAGTAATGAAATAATAAGCGGGAAAAGAAACAAAAAAAGCAAAACGAAAAGAAACAATGAAAAAATGAGTAAGGGAATAAAAATCAGAAAACAAAAGAAAGAAAGAAAGAAAGAAAGAAAGAAAGAAATACGAAAAGGATTAGGCAAAAATAATGAGGGAAAATTATTATAAGAATGAAAACAAATCAATTAAAGAAAGAAAGAAAGAAAGAAAGAAAGAAAGAAAGAAAGAAAGAAAGAAAGAAAGAAAGAAATACGAAAAGGATTAGGCAAAAACTGAGGGAAAATAATTATAAGAATGAAAACAAAATCAATTAAGGAATAAAAGAAAGAAAGAAAGAAAGAAAAAAGGAAAGAAAGAAAGAAAGAAAGAAAGAAAGAAAAAAAAAAAGAAAGAAAGAAAGAAAGAAATACGAAAAGGATTAGGCAAAAACTGTGGGAAAATAATTATAAGAATGAAAACAAATCAATTAGGGGAATAAAAGAAAGAAAGAAAGAAAGAAGAAAGAAAGAAAGAAAGAAAGAAAGAAAGAAAGAAAGAAAGAAATACGAAAAGGATTAGGCAAAAACTGAGGGAAAATAATTATAAGAATGAAAACAAATCAATTAAGGAATAAAAGAAAGAAAGAAAGAAAGAAAGAAAGAAAGAAAGAAAGAAAGAAAGAAAGAAAGAAATACGAAAAGGATTAGGCAAAAACTGAGGGAAAATAATTATAAGAATGAAAACAAATCAATTAGGGAATAAAAGAAAGAAAGAAAGAAAGAAAAGAAATACGAAAAGGATTAGGCAAAAAAACTGAGGGAAAATAATTATAAGAATGAAAACAAATCAATTACGGAATAAAAAGAAAGAAAGAAAGAAAGAAAGAAAGAAAGAAAGAAAGAAAGAAAGAAAGAAAGAAAGAAATACGAAAAGGATTAGGCAAAAACTGAGGGAAAATAATTATAAGAATGAAAACAAATCAATTAAGGAATAAAAGAAGGAAAGAAAGAAAGAAAGAAAGAAAGAAAGAAAGAAATACGAAAAGGATTAGGCAAAAACTGAGGGAAAATAATTATAAGAATGAAAACAAATCAATTAGGGGAATAAAAGAAAGAAAGAAAGAAAGAAAGAAAGAAAGAAAGAAATACGAAAAGGATTAGGCAAAAACTGAGGGAAAATAAGTAAAGATTGAAAAACAAATCAATTAGGGAATAAAAGAAAAGAAAAAAGAAAGAAAGAAAGAAAGAAAGAAAAAAAAGAAAAGAAATACGAAAAGGATTAGGCAAAAACTGAGGGAAAATAATTATAAGAATGAAAACAAATCAATTAAGGAATAAAAGAAAGAAAGAAAAGTGAAAATGATATGAAATAAGAAACAAGAGATAAATTAAAACAAAATAAGTAAAAGAATAAGGAAATATATAAATAACTTAAGGACAAAGGATGTAAAAATTAAAACAAAATTAAAGTGCTATCAGACAAAAAAGCTGAAAGCAAAAAATATGGTCATTAAAAACAAGAAAAAGAACAATCATGATGAAACAACAAAAACACAAGGAAAAAAAACGCCTCTCTGAAGGTGATACAGGCAGATTGAATGGTATCAAATTACTTGGCAAGAATGGATTCAAACTCTGTGTTTGGTAGTACTGAAAAATCACCTCGTGGAAGATACAAGGAAGTGACACAAACGGTAAGAATTAAGCGATAGAAAATATCTCAGATTCATGGAGACCAGAGTGAAAAAGATTTTACCGCCATGCGTTGAAGAAATTTCAATGTAAATATAAAACACACATTTTGTGACCGCATCTGTCTGCGTAGACGCCATATTTTTGTGTTTTGCTTTTCTTTAAACAGTGTATATTCCGTCTACCTGCTAGCGCATTCGATAGACACAATGAAAAAAAAACGTGTTCTCCTGTTCGGCAGAGTTCGTCTTATTAAGTGGGTTTAGGTCGCTCGGTTATAGAGACCGTCCTGGTTAACAAATTCCAATTATCATTTAAGACAATGCACATTTTTTAGTTCGAATCACATCTAGTCGAAAGTACATATCTGATTACTTTCTGTTAATTTTAGTATCTGTAAAAAAGAAAAAAGTTTTCTAGAAAATTATTGGATTTTATTTTTAAATGCACATTATTTCTTATAGATAGATAGATAGATAGATAGATAGATAGATAGATAGATAGATATGAGAATTAGATATGAGAATTAGATAGATAGATAGATAGATAGATAGATAGATAGATAGATAGATAGATATAAGAATTAGATATGAGAATTAGATAGATAGATAGATAGATAGATAGATAGATAGATAGATAGATAGATATGAGAAATAAATAGATAGATAGATAGATAGATAGATAGATAGATAGATAGATAGATAGATAGATAGATAGATAGATAGATACACAACGGAATGAAAAGACAGTAATCGATGAACTGTTCTGATGGAAAGTCATGTTTTATCAGATGAATCGATTTTTTTTCTACATTTCGTTCTTCTTTCGAAATAACTGACCCGTCAATAAATTCTGGCTATTCAAATCACTCGCTCCTTTTCCCAACCTTTGGCTGAACAATTACACTGACCATATATTGACAATGCCTCCATTTCATCAGCGTTTTAACGACCGGAAGCACCTGGTCACGGAAGTGTTTCCCCACAGCAAGGGGCGGGATGAGGATACACAGACGCTCGGAGGAAGCACCACGGTGTTAACCGTTAATCGTTGCCTGTGGAAACGTCCAAGAGCAGAATCAAATTAGACGGATCAGAATATAGCTGCTATTCAATACCCGAGTTGCCATTCAACTGTTATATCATTCAGTGATTTACTAAGCGTAGCTTAGATGTAGCACAAGGCCCAATGTATGGAGCATCCAGTGATGTTCGAACTCCCTACTCAGTCGTAACTGATCTAGCACGACAAGCTTGCTAGCCGTTACACAACGTTGAAGTGTCCCGTTCAGGACTATATCTTGCAGCTTGTAGTCGCTCCAGTTTTGACGAGTGGTTGTAATCTTAATAAAACTGGACTTCTATTAGTACTCAAGTTTACCACTGACCTCAATTAGGACTCATATATACGATCCATCGCTAAAGATGTTAGAAAAATGGCCGGTTTCTTGGGCCGGTCCAGAAAATACCTGATTCGTCCTAGTATGCTTTGGCTTTACAGGAGAAAGATTTAAAGAGATATAGAGCATTGTCATATCTGAAGAGGAGTTGCCCAATTTCTCTATTTAATAGAGTTCAAAAGCGATTACGAGGTCCTGTGGGGAATGAAATATATTTTTTTAATTCTACAGTACCATTTTCGCAAAAGGATGCTTGATAATACCAGGTGTTGTAAGCTTAGATGTGCAGGTACTGTAAAGGATAATGGCTTGGAATTGTTAATATGAGAGTCAAGTTAATATTGCTGTTGGATTCTTTATATTCACAAACTAGCAGCGTTGCCCGTGCTTGATTCAAAAATAATCACTGGTTGCTCCATACTTTGGGCCTTGTTCTACATCTAAGCTACGCTTAGTAAATCACTAGAAAACCCTGAATGATATAACAGTTAAATGGCCACTCGTGAATCGAATAGTAAAATTACCACCAACACATTTTTATAGAAAAATTACAACCAGTACGTTTTTTTTATATATTAAAATTAGCAACGATACTTATTTGTAGTAAAATTAACACCAATACATTTTTATAGAGAAATTACCAACACTTCATATTTATAGTAAAATTACAGACAATATATTTTATCTGTATTTGAAGGTATACAATTGCGTTAAAAATATAATTAGTTAAAGCTATAACGTTGTTTTCAAAATATTTAAATTTCGGTATTGCATAACCAATAGCGGTTGATAAGCCGCCAAACAAAATCAACCAACAAACTAAACAAACAACATGAAAGAGATGATTAATGATATTAATCTATATAATACTCAACAATTCCTTAAAGATCAAACTATACCAAAATATAACTTTAACAATACTACAGCATAAACTATACATATATTTTTATTACTTTCGCTATAAATTGACTTAAAATATTTTGCCCTTCCTTGCCTTTAAAGGAGTGCCCTTTGCCGTGCTGATGTTGCTACATGCCTTACTTCTTGCCTATCTCACACTGCGAATTTTTTCTAAGATCTATACTAAAAATTAAATCTGTTACGAAAAAAGAACTAAACAAAATGAACACAAAACGATTAGCTTTAAAAAAGGACTCGTAACTGGAAAAACCGAATGAAAAAAGAATGTTAACAACAAATACTTTTTCATACCCAACCCAGTTCTGCGAAATCAGAATCAATGTTGAGTTTAAGCAAGCGAATGTGCCAATTGGAATAAAGTGCCATGCAGATGTAAATTTTTCCCACTTGTGACGAATGCAGCTATCGATTTTTTTTGCATGCTAGCATGCTAGTTAACATTCGTGTCAGTCAGCTTTTGGCTCTCTCGCTGGCCAATAGAATCTTCCCGCTTGTTCGTGGCAGCCGGCTATAGGTTCTCACTCTGGCTAGTAGAAAATGGCCGAAAACTACATGAAAACTGTCGTAGAAGCATGAAAAAATCGATTATTTCCACTAGCGATGAGAGTTGGCTTTCCCGCTAACTTGGAGCATGTGCATGTAAATTTTGGTGCAAATCCGTCGAAAATTGTGGCCGTGCATTCGTTACACACACACACACACACACACACACACACACACACACACACACACACACACACACACACAAATCCTGCCTTTTATAGTAGAGATTATCAAATAACCTTCGGAAAGATATGAAACGACTTCTCCTCCAACTATGGGTTAATTAGTAATATTTACATTTCTAAACCATTATGATCTCCAAATAACATTCCTATAATCTAAAAATATTTTTGACTTTAAATAACCTGCAAAGGGTTGATAAGTCTGTAAAAAAAATCAATCTATCAATTAACCACAAACAAAAAATCTCAAGCCACATCCTAATAAATGGCTGTTTCCATGACAACAGAGCTACGTGTCTTTGTTCCACTAATTTAGAGGTTTACAAATAGGAACTGTTATGTCATATACACGGGGTTTAATCATACTCATTCCATTTGCATGCTGTTCATATTATCACTACGTCTCGACCGTTGTGGCCCTCCGCCATCTTCAGATGACTGCCGATGCAGGTAACCTTCAGGGAACTTAACTCTTTATTTAAACTACGGGGTTAGATTATTTATATATCACTGACTATGTCATGCCATGCTTAGTTATTCCATGCCATTTATCCACTGAGCCCATGGCTCGTAATATTTGTTTAATTTTGTACGCGTAATTTTACTATACACATACGGCTTATTTTTGGATAATACTTAGTTATTAAAATGCAATATAAAAGAGACAGATGTTAATAATGATATATAATAATTTTATGCAGGAATTCCTTGCGAGATGAAAACTATTTCAATTGTAAAACGGTGGAGTAACCCTACTCTAGAACATAAACAAACTCTTCTCAGAAGCATTTATAGGGAAAAAAAAAAACATCTGAGACTAAAATAAACTACGTGAACAAGCAATTCTTATGTAGCTCAATAATAGCCTATCTTTAAACAATAGAACAGTTGATTGATAAAAGAATAGAATACAAACAAAGAACGATGCTTTGGGTTTGATAACGATGAAAATGGATTTATTAGGGTATAAAATATTTTTAATTGTTTTATTTTTACCAAAGCAGTTATATGACAATTATATGAAATATATGGACGATACATATGTTAAACGTAGAACAGTAATTGCAGCTTAACAGTTAAAATATACAGGGTGATTGAAAAGTAATTCCCTATTTTATGTATTATGGAATCTTCTGTCTAACTATAATTTTACGAGACATGAGTGTCCAACATACATAAAATAGGGAGTTACGTTTCAATCACCCTGTACATTTGGAAATCCAGGATGGGAATAAGATTTCAACTAAACTATTTACATGTCATTTCAGGTAGCGTAGGGGTTATAGCCGCAGAAAATAGGACTGGCAAATTAATTAACTTGTTTTTGAAACAGTATATCATCTCCTTATGGATCATTTAATGCCGAAATTAAATTGTCTTCGAAAGCTTTGAAGTAATAAAAATCTATGTTATTCTGCATTCACAATTGAATACATGGTAGATGATACTCAGATTGTATGCATATACATGTTTGTGGGGACATGATCATTAAAGGCGGTTATATCTGTAGTTTATGCTGTAGTATTGTTGAAGGTATATTTCGGTACAGTTTGATCTTTAAGGAATTGTTGAATATTATATAGATTAATATGATGAAACATCTCTTTCATGTTGTTTGTTTAGTTTGTTGGTTGATTTTGTTTGGTGGCTTATCAACCGCTATTGGTTCCGCAATACCGAAATTATTTTTTTTTTTTAAAACAACGTTATAGCTTTAACTAAATATATTTTTAACGCAATTGTATAAATTCAAATACAGAAAAAATGTATTGTCGGTCATTTTACTATAAATATGAAGTGTTGGTAATTTTATTATAAAAATGTATTGGTGTTAATTTTACTACAAATAAGTATCGTTGCTAATTTTAATATAAAAAACGTATTAATGGTAATTTTTCTATAAAATATGCTGGTGGTAATTTTACTATAAATATGTATTAATTGTAAATTTACTATAAAAATTTATTGGTGGTAATTTTACTATAAATTTGAATTGTTTCTAATCTTTATATATAAAATTTTATT